GTCCTCTCGCTAGAAAACAAGACTCACGTTCAGTGTCAGGCAGGGCGCCCAGCCAGCCCCAGCGGGGCGTCCGCCTCCCCCCCGGCTTCGTCAGCATGACTCCCAGGGCGGGCGGGGCGCTCAGGACTCAGCCAGTCCAGCCCCATCTCACTCATCCCAGCCAGGATTTAAACAGCTCTAGGGATGGAGATTCCTCCCCCTCCCTCTCGCTAGAAAACAAGACTCACGTTCAGTGTCAGGCAGGGCGCCCAGCCAGCCCCAGCGGGGCGTCCGCCTCCCCCCCGGCTTCGTCAGCATGACTCCCAGGGCGGGCGGGGCGCTCAGGACTCAGCCAGTCCAGCCCCATCTCACTCATCCCAGCCAGGATTTAAACAGCTCTAGGGATGGAGATTCCTCCCCCTCCCTCAGGAACCCATCCCAGTGCTTCCCCGCCCTCCTCTGGACATATCTTGTCCTAACATCCCCCACTGCATCTTGAGACCCTTTCTCCTCCTTCTGCCATCTGTTACCACTGAACTGCCTGACTCCATTCTCTTGAGAAACCCCTCTCCCCTGTTCAAGTAGGTGAAGGCTGCTGTCAAATCCCCATACATCATCCTATTTGCTCTCTCTCAAACCTTTAAAAGGACACGACATAAAAAAAACAACCCCACTTTAGAGCATCTATTTACCCACCATTGTTAGAACAATAATGATCAACCTGTGGAACTCCTTGCCAGAAGACGTTGTGAAGGTCAAGACATTGATAGAACTAAATGGGTTCATGGAAAATAGGCCTAGCAATAGCTATTAGCATGGATGGGCAAGGATGGTGCTCCTAGCCTCTGTTTGCCAGAAGCTGGGACTAGACAATGGAGCAGGAATCACTGCTCATTCCCTCAAACACTTGGCATTAGCCATTGTTGGAAGACAGGATACTGCGCTAGATGGACCTTTGGTCTGACTCAGCATGGCCACTGTCATAAGATTAATTCAAGAAAGGGGAAAAATTAGAGGAGGGGAAAAAATCTTTCCCCTTTTTCCGCTCAGTTTGTTTTCTACATTTATTCTTTAGATGCATAAATGAGGAATCAAACATCTGTGTGGAGCATGCTACAGTCTATTCTGCTAAGCTCTAGTCTGACACACACTTAAAAATACAACAAAGCAAAGGAAGATACCAAGCACCACACCATACTGAATAATCAGAAACAGGAACAAACCATTTCCCCCATTTTTCTGTAAAGTGCCCACTACCATCAATTCTTGTAGCTTCAGCAACTCGAGAGGACATGACACCACTTATCTGATCAGTTTCCTGGGTTTGGGGGTCTTCCACAGCACTGAGAAAGAACAAATAAAATGGAAATATGGTTATTAAATCACAAAGATGGGCAGGGAAAATAGAATGGAGACTCCTCCAACAGTACCATCCACCCAAGAATTCATAAATTGTAACTCAGTTCCCCCCTTCTCTCAAATAACATAATAGTGTATTAGAGATGTCATGGAATTTTCAAAAACACCACATCTGGGGAATTCTTTTTATTCACCTTCTGGTTTTTTGAATCCTTAAGGACCATGTTTTCAAGCTTTTCTCCACAACCATGGAAGCTCGATTTTTTTCTCTTCTTCTTCAAACCAAAGCTGAGATTCTGACACAATCACGACTCCAGGAGCTGTGGCATTAAGAAAAAACACACACCTAATATCACAAAAAAATGATAACAATTATAAGTTGCAACACAGGAAATTACTCATAATTATTGCTTTTAGAGTTAGCTAAATTTCAAGCTAAGAGTGTTCCCTTAAGTTTCAAGGCTGATATTTTCAGTGCTGACCAAAGGGTTCATCCAATTTGGCACTCACTTTTTTTTGTCCTAATTTCTTATAATACATTACATATCAAATAACATCAAAAACTAACCATGGTTCTACGTTGCTCTGAGTTGTGTTACAGCTGACTAGAATGTTCCCACTGAAACCTTTTGCAACAAGAAAAGGCTTTTTTTGGGATATATGAAGAGTTTGTTTCATTCAAAATTCTAGGGCTTTTCAAGGGAAAACAGAGTCAAAACATGTTGATTTTGAAAAATAACAGTGATTTGGTTTATTTTAAAAGTTCTACCCATAAAGTAACAACAAAACAAAAAGTTCCCCCTCAGACACAAAACCCCACAAACCAACAACCTCAAACAGCCACATAATTTTAAAAAAGTGTTTGCAGAAAAATACTTACCATTCTTCAAGCAGCTCTAGGGCATTACTTATAAAAAGGATGGGTCATCTTGAAGAAAATCCAGTAGCTAGTAAATCAAGATGGTTGGGGGGAGGTTTTAGCAAAGGGAGGCTCCAAGAATAAACAAGATCTTCAATTAATACAAGAGCACATCTGCTAGCCTGATCCTGCCACGAACACTGTACGTCTGCCCATTCTGAGCCCATGTTGTTATGTAGAACTTATAGCCTCTTTTTACTTTTGTGCAAATCTAATCAAGGCTCCATCTGCTCTTGCCATAGATTACAAAAAACAAAATCAAGTGAAACAAGCCAGCAGAACACAAAAACATTTCCTCCCTTTGCAGATCTGATCTTCAGACTCCATTCTGTGCAGCAGCATGTGCAAACAGACACAACTTCCAGAGTAGCCTAAAAAAAAAAAATGGACCAGGGCTATTTTGAGTCACACATTGCAGGGGGGACACTGTATTACTTGCCCCTTCTCTTAAAGTATGGCTGATCCACCTGATTGCAACAGTGGCAACAGGTCATCAGGAGTAGGCATTCTCTCACAGTCCTGATTCTGCAAAGCATTTAAACATCTGCTCAAAGTTAAGCATGTGCTTAAGTCACATTGACCACAGAGTGCTTTCCTGCACTTAAGCCTCCAGGCAAAAGGTCCAACCCCCTTTTGGCTTTTTCAGGCCAAAACCCAACCAGATTAGCACTATTTATTTCTATGGATGATTTGACACATCAAGCTTAAGTTTCTACCTAAACTTCCGTGTCACACTGTATTTAAAAGGTTCCATATCCAAACGGCCAGCTAAGATGGTGTTGTAAACCTGTTACAGATGTAAGCAGTACATTTCATGGAGGTAGTTGTGTTAGTCTGTATCTGCAAAAACAAGGACGAGTTCTGTGGCTCCTTAAAGACTAACATAAGCTTTTGTGGGTAAAACCCACTTTGTCAGGTGGATGGAGTGGAAATCACAGGTTAGTAATTTATTGAAATATCAGTAATAGGTTAAACTTTTATAAGTTATCTAGTAATTGTAACACGTGAGCAGTCAATCAAGGTCCTTAACTGGCATGAGTCCTTCCCAATCCTTATATCACCCCATTGTAGTGATGGAGAACTGAGGCCTAGATCTACAAAGGTATTCTAATTTCCAGAAGACTAAATATCTTTGTGGATCAGGGCCAGAGACATTGAAGGGCAGGTCTACACAGCAAGAACAAAAGCAGGAGTTCTTAACTCTGGTTAAAGTAGCCATGAAGATGTAGCAACTCTGCCTTTAGCTCAGGTTAGTCACGCAAATGGAATCTTGGAAAGTGGAGATGAACTAAGGTTGCTGGGCCCCGTATGCTCCTTTAACCCAAGCTGGCTAATGACAGGTAAGAACACACCTTATTTTGCAGAGCAGACACACTTACATGCCCAATGTCACATAAGGCAGCTGTGTTGGATCAAGAAATCGAACCTTAGTTCCCTAGGCCCTAGGGTGATTCCATAACCTCTGGGCCATCATTTCCTGCTGTGCGGATGAGACTGGAGCTCCCAATGCAACCTCTCCCTCCGCTGCCCCAGTTTCTCCTTCCTGCACCTCTCTCCCACTTCCAATCTTCTCGCCACTGCTAAAGCAAGTCGTCTTCCGTGTTGCTCCCACATCTCACCATCTTTCTAGCAAGTGTCAGACAAAAGAGAGGGATAGGGATGATTTCAGCTTTCTTACACATCTTCAAATGCCAACTTCCTGCATTGAAAAATCCCAAAATTTTATCCTCCATGAGCACAAGACAGCCCAGATCCTCCAGGTCAGGCCAAATGTCAGCCATTCTCTAAAGCTATGTCTAGACTTCCCCCTCTTGCGCAAGAAAATATGCAAACGAAGCAAAACGGTGAATATTGCCATGCTTCATTTGCATACTTAATGAACCGCCATTTTGCACAAGGGGCTTTTGGGCAAAAAGGAGCCATCTACATGGCTCTTTTTTGTGCAAACCCCCCTTACGCAAAAGGCATTGTTCCTGAAAAAAAGTGGCAGAACGGCTCTTGCGCAAGACGGGGTTTTTGTGCAAAAAGGAGCAGTGTAGACAGCTCCTTTTTGCGCAAAAGTCCCTTGAGCAAAAATGGCAGTTCATTAAGTATGCAAATGAGGTGTGGCAATATTCACTTCACCTCATTTGCATATTTTCTTGCGCAAGAGGGGACAGTTTAGACAGCTTTGAACAGTGTCTGAATACAAATGGGTACGGTTGATGTCAACAGTTAACAAAAAACATTCTGAAAGCTCCATTGTTCAGCTTCCTTGGTTCTCTGCTTTAGGCAGTTTACGAAGTGAATGATACACGTTTCATACGAAAGCACAAATCAGCCTACACATGGACAAACAAAAACTTTTGGCCAACTTTTTCGAGCAGGAAGCCAGATGAACATAACCCAAATCGCTGCTGTTTTCTTTTGGGTATGGACACTTAAGCGGAGGACACAACTGCTCCATGCAGCTGTAGTAACACTCAAGGACAAGCTGGATCATCCTAGCATCATGAAACACATGGAATACATCTGGATAGCAAGAGGAGTCTGGATGCATTCACCAAATGGCAGGGAATGCGACACTGCTTATGATAAAAGGGTATCGGAAAAAGGAGGGGTGAAGAGCTCACTTTAAACAGTCCTGTTCTGCCTTCCTCCCCTCATTTGTCTGTCACCTTTAGGCCCCCAAGCCTGCAACAATCAGATCCACCAACATGAATCCCCATACTCATGTGGACATACATTTGAATCAATGGGGCTCTGGATGGGTGCACAGTTCTACAGTAATGGATGCAACTGCAGGATCAAGGCCTATGGACCCGATCCAGCACACAATTATGGCTCTATTCACATAAGTCAGGTTATCAGCATGCTTAGAAGTCTCCAGTCTCTGCTCTCCACCTTTTTGTCCAATAATTAACATATAAACTTTGGAACCTCACAGCTCCTATTGGCCTTAATGCTCAACACATCCTGTGTGTATAGATTTGGGAGCCTACAGATACTTTTCTTTTCATTCTCATGTCTGACATTTTAAAAGTTTTTTTTTGTTTCTAAATCCTTTTTCTGTGGAGTTACCACCTTCTCTCCTGGTGAGTACAATATATAGATTGTTCTAAAAAGTGTATTTGGAATTAAAGGCTAAAACTTTAAGCAAATTATTTACATATCCAAGCACCACCTATTGATTTCCAGGCATATGCTTAGGTGCTTTAGGAGAACTTAGGTCCCAATTCAGAAATCTGCTACATTGGGGTAAATCCAGCCATTTCGTGGAGATTAGTGGAGTGACTCCATAACTCTGGGGAGCAGAGTCCAGCCCTACATTTGAACACACAATCTGCAACTGCTTTTGTTACTTAGTATTTTACAGCAATAGCACCTAAGATCCCATGAGACTTGACACTATACAACACAGAACACAAAGCTGGGGGGTTCATTAGCTTTGTTGGATAAGTCTTTGATTTGCCTGTTTTCATACCATGCAACTTAAGCACAATTTAGGCCCAAAGCCTCAAAAGTATTTAGGCATTTAACTTCCATTGATTTGACTCTGACTTAGATCCTCAAGAACCTATTTTTGGTAAAAGGATAGACACTGACAGCATGAGATTGAAATTCTAGTAGTTGTGTTGACTACGGAGTGATCAAGACAAGGCGGCTGACATTGACTTAACCTACGGTGACCCCTATGTGCAGTCAAACATACTAACAAAATGGTAGGATGAATAAGAAATGGGATGAACACAGAGCTAAGATATTTAATATACGTCAACGTCTGCATGCTGTGCGCCCTACTGGTCGCCCCATCTCTTGAGGATATTGTAGAACTAAAAAGGATTCAGAGAATGATGAAAATGAGCCGAGGGTATGAAAAAGCTCTCCTGGGAGGAGCATAACAAGACTGGGATTGTAACCTTGGAAAGGGGATGATTCAAGGATACAAATACGATGGTTTTCCCTAGGTCTCAACTCACGTAAGTGGACAGCCAATGAAACAGAAAAATGGGAATCCCAACGCTGATACAAAGATATTATTTTCAGAGTGGATATCTGGAGTGTGGAATTCACTGCCACAGGATGGAGAGGCCAAGAACTTACTAAGATTCAAGCAGGGACTGGGCATTTATACAGCTAGCAAGAACATCTAGGCTTCTTAACCATGACAAGAGGTTTTGGAAGGGATATTAAAACTCATGTTTTAGGGTTTAAACCTATCTGAGTCTTAGAGATCAGGCTAAGGCCTTTCTGGGGCAGTGAGGAGAGAAATTATTCTAGACAGGATAGGGGACAAAACAGGCCTCAGGTCTGACCCAACCTGGCTTTTCTTAGGGGAGTGATATGGGCAGTGCCCACTTGCTCCAATTATAAATGCGTCTCAACCCTATCCCAGATGACTTCTTAAGGCCTATTCTAGCCCTAGTGGCCCCGTTAAGGCTGCCAATTAAGTGTCAGAAATAGCTGGCTGAGTTGTTTTGGATGGGAGTGGAAGGATGTTTGATGGAGATATTGTTCCATGGCGACCAGACCCCCAGTGATTGTCACACAGGCAAACAACCCACCATCAGACCATGTAATTTCCAGTCACTAGTGACTGGAATTACCATTCCTGGGATTGGATTGTAGGTTTTGCTTCCAGAAAATGTTTTAATTCAGTGACTTCCCTTCTCTGCACACCCACTTTATTATCCACATAAAATATAATTTGTTTATTTCTCCTCTGGTACAACGCTTCACAAGTGAGAGTTAATACTCAAATGGACACCAACCATTTCTTGCATTTTGTTCACTAAATGGCAGAAAGTATTTGTTTTAAAAAAAAAGTTTCCCTCTCCCCACAAGATGAACATTTGCTAGATGACTAAATCCCATGTGAATTTCATCTGTTGCCATGACAGGAGAGGCAGCTTGGGGCAGTGGCTAGGGTATTGGATCAGGATTGATTATCACTGGCCTCCACTGTGATTTTGGGCAAGTCACTCCCCTGCTCCATGCCTATTTGTCCTCCCATCCTTTGCCTGCCTTATTAGTTTGTATAGCACCTCCCATAAGGGGGCCTTGACCTAGAGTCAGGTCTCCATGCATTATGGCGATACTCCTACAAATCTACTTCAACTAAAGGTTCAGCCATGGTCTTCCACTTGGGCAATCTGTTCATCTAATGAGATCAAACCTCAAGAACCATGGACAGGATCTTTAGAAACATCCAGCTCTGGCTTAACTCAAGACTCCTTTAAAGTCAATTGGAGCAAATTGAGACCAGGGGTGGATGCTTTGAAAGAGTCCCACCGTGCGTATTTTCCATTAAAAAACACCACTCATTGCTTATTTGTTTTAGTGCTTTGGTGCCAGATCCCTGTTACTTCAACAACAGAAAGAAGAGAGCTGCTGTTTAATTACTGGGAGACTGAAGCTAGGAATGGGGTGGAGCATGCTTTGGCATAGGTGCTATGGGGCAGCGCAGCCTGACTAGAAGTGGTTTCCACTCTATAAAGGATTTACAGTTTGGTTCAATGACTCAGAACACCCATTTTGAAAATCACTCCAGTGCCACTGGGCTTTGGCTAGAACAAGACAAGGGAATAAAAAACTAAAAGCTGTTTTACTCAGCTCTTTACGAGAGTTAAGTGTGGTGTAGAAAAACAAGAGCCATTGCTTATTCTCCTCGCTTTGATGGGAATAAGACAGGCTCCAAATAGAGGTAACTCTTTGTTCCTCCAGCTAGACAGTAACTACATTAAAACTCCCATCAAAGGTAGGAGTTCCTTATCTTACAGGACAATCCAACCTCACGTCCACAAGCAGGCCGTTGCTAGAATCCTTGTTGGTTTATTACAGCAGTTACACATATCCAGACCACCAGCCCTAACTCAACCATGAGTGCATTTAATACAGCCATCACTGATCTGTGGGACACGAGAGCCAACTGGATGATCCTAGTGACCCTTTCTGGCCTTTCCAAAAACCTAAGCCCTATTATTCTATGAAGCTTGTATGTACCTTTGCAACTCCCCAGGTTCATGCAAGACCCGTAATTCCAGCAACAAATTACGTGGCTGGAGTGAACTATTTTAAATCCCCATCTACAGTGGGAAGTCAATGGGAGCGAATGCACACATTGGCTTCCCTTACTCCTCACAAGGGGTAGAAGTATCGGTGCCAATGGGGGCACCCATTGAGTTCTATAGACCTTCCATGTAGTGTAGATGTGCCCTAGGAGACTATGAAGGGGTGGTAAGAATGGGGACCTGCTAAGGCCAGGGTTTTCCCAATTCTTGCCCAGAGAGCTTAATATACAAGGTACTTGAACAGTTATTTGATAAATGTGGCCCAAGACACAAATCCAGGAGAGCATAAAAAGTGGAGGAAGAATGCAGTAAAAAGGACATCTAGGCTGCAAAACGCAGCCATCCTGGGCTGTGCTATTCCAGCAGGGCTGATTGTAACAATGATCCATGTTGCACCCAGACAAGTCTTAAACACAGATCACACTTTTCACTAAGCTGCAGGGAAATGGTTTTGCAAAACGGGACTTGACACTTCTAATTTTACCAAAAGTCTAAGCTTCTGTAAGATGATGTCCTCAAGCCAAGTTGATGGTAGCTGTGCAAACTGTAAGGGGAATATAAATGAACAATTTAATGCTAGGAGCATAAGAGACTTAGGTGCCAATTCAGTTTCAAATGGGACTGGGGTAGCCTTAAACCCATACTATCAGATTGAAAGCCCCAACACCAAAATACTGTCTGCTAATATTTTTAATGTCTTTGCCCCATAGTATAGACCTGACCCAAATGAAACGAAGGTACACAACTTCAGCCACATGAATAGCACAGCTGGAGTCGATACACCATAGTTT